GGGGGTGTGGGAGATGGGTTTAAGGGTGGGGTCGGGGTGCCGAGGTAGGCTCTAGGGCGTGTGAGACTTGGGGTTCGGGGCCTGAGTGGGAGAAGGAGCTCGATTAGCTTGGGTGGACTCGGGGAGGGGCATGCGTGGGAACTGAGGGAGGGACGAAGGATTGCTGAACTGGGGAAGAGGGAAACGGAATGGGATTTGAGGGGTGCAAGGAGGAAATGGGATTGGTATAGGGGAAAGGGTGGAGTGTTGGGGGAGGGGAAGAAAGAAGTTGGGGCTGTGGATTGTGAAGTTGAGGCTAGGGAGGCATAAAGGAAGGGGATTTTCAAGGTGAGGACAGAAGCCAAGGGAAGGGATGGAGAGATTGGGGTCCTAGGAGAGGGACGCCCTGGAGTGGGAGGAAGGGAAGAATAGATGGTGAAGGAGAGAAGGGCCGGGAGGTGGAAGGGTTTGGGGAAGGAGGGAGAGGCAGGTGGGATTGGGTCTGGGGGACAGGGAGCCACATTTCAGAAGGCAGGGAATGATTGGAAGGGTATGAGGTTTGAGAGGTGGGGGCAGGGGAGCTGGGAGCAGGGGAAGGGAGGGGGGTTAGGATTTGGGGTGTGGAGATTGTATTTTGTGTGAGAAGCTCTAGAGTTGGAAAGATGTCAAGATGTGGGAGAGATTGGCGTGTTCTTGCGGGGGAAGTAGGCAGCTGGGTGTGATGTGACCCTCTGGAGCTATGGGTGAGAAGGCAGGTAGGGAAGTGCAAGTTACTGGAAAAAAAGTAGTGAGGAGAGTTGAAAACTGAGTAATGGCGGTGACCCACAGAACAATGAAGGTGGATTGTTAGTTGGTTATTGGTAGTTTAGAACTAGTTTCTGTTCAGGTTTTTATGTTTGAAAATTTAAGAATACTACATTTTCAAATAAACTGAGGGTGTCTGCAGCCTTGGGATGAAGGCCAAGGGTTGACAGACATTTTCCTGGTTTGTGAAAGTGGCTAATTTCTGCCCTGGCAGAGGGAATAAGTGAGGCCTCGTTGTAACTCTGTCCTGGCTCTGTTCCTGCCAACTCTTCCCTCAGATATCCACTGCTTTTTAATCTTCTCCCTGTCATACCCTAACCCCACCCCCAGCTCAACCCAGTGAGTACCAGAGGAATCAAACAGGTGGGTGAGATTAATTTTTAACATTTAAAAAAAATCTTTAAGGCTGATGTCCCATTTTTATTCTTGAAAGACAGTATTGTGCAGTGCAAAGAGCTTGAGCTTTGGAGTAATATAGCCCTGAAATTGAATTCTAACTCTGCCGCTTAACTAGCTCTGTTCCTTAAGTAAGTTCATTCCATTTCTCTGAGCCTCTTCACATGTTATATGGCAATGCTGACCTCATAGGATTGTTGAGGATTATGTGAGATCATTTTATATAGTACCTAGTACAGTGCTTGGCAACTGTACTAATAAATGCTTAATAAATGGTAGCCATCACTCCTGGGTATCATTAACATCATAGTCATTACCGTAACATTATTCTTAGGGTATATTGTTAACTTACTTTACCTACTATAAAGTTAGGTGTTTTCTTCTCGTCAATTTAGATAGCCATAGAGTCAGCTCACAATTTTAACCCTGTTACCCTTTCCCCTAACCTTTCCCTCAGTCCACCTGACTGGGAAGCATGACTCAGTCATGATTTTTTCACCTTCAAGGTCTAGAAAGCTGTCATGGTTAGTTATCGATTATTTTATCTTGCCATTTATTCAAGGAAGTTGTAGAGAACTGAGGTAGCAAGGCTATATTTCATTTGATGAAATGATATACTTCGTGGTAACTTTGGCTCACTTGTGGTGACCAAATACTAGAACATGCACTATCATGGTATTTTTCTACGATGATAAATGGTTTACAAAAAAGCCTCTCTGTAGTGGACTGGGAGACTATCAGAATGCTCTATTGTTCTGTTGATCTAATCTATGATATAGTTACTACAGATCTATGCTAGATATTATTCTTGCAGATACTATTATTTTAATTTTCCAGTTTGTATGGGGGTTTTGTCATGGTATAGAATAGTCCTTGTCTCCTGAGGGAGCCCATTTATAATACAGCTCCTCAAATACCAGAACGAGAGGCCTTGGGCTTCTGGACAAATGATGTGGGTTTACTTTTCAGGAAATATTGGATTTTTTTTATCATTTAGAAAGAGAAAGAGCATATGATGAGTAATCTAAAGATAAAATATAGCCAGAACTGTGCCTTTTTTAAAAAATGATCCCTGGAAGCCAAAGCTGCCAGGAGTTGGGCAGCTTAGGTTAGTGTCCTTACTTAATCTAAAGATAAAATATAGCCAGAACTGTGCCTTTTTAAAAAAATGATCCCTGGAAGCCAAAGCTGCCAGGAGTTGGGCAGCTTAGGTTAGTGTCCTTACTCTGGTCCCAAGCTGCTTGTGCCACCTGCTGGATGGAATCAGACTTTTCTGATTTTCATCCAGAGTGGTCATCCATCTATCCATCCATTTGTCCATTTATTCCAAAGTTTGTGGAAGGCGCTATTGGGGGTGAGGGTAGGGGGCAAGGCAGATAGGCAGACCCAGTTTTATTGCTCAGGGAGCTCACAATGTACTGATTCATTATACTGTGTTATCTTACATAGAATTTGCCTTTCTGCTATTCAAATCCAGTTAGTCCTTCTTAAGTCTGTGATTAGTGTCTACTTTGTGATCAACAGGTAGAGTAGGACTCTGTTGAATCACAAGGATAAAGACCACAGGAGATCTGCTTTGACTCTTCATCAAGATTAAGGTCTGTGAGGTTGAAGAGGCCAGATGCTTACCCCTTCTGGAAGAAGAGCTTAGTTATAAGGGAGGCGTCTCCTTAGCAGCAGGCACTGAAATGCTGGCAAGAGAAGGCTATGGGTTATAAGAGCTGGCACTGTGACAGGATTTTTTTTCCTGGTTTTTAGTTTAGTGGGTTTTTTCCCTTCCCCACCCCGGTAGTACCAGTAGCAGTATACTCCCATCATCTGCTTTGCTTCTACCACCTGCAGAAGGGTCTGGCGAGTGGGGGAGGAGCCTGCAGCTGTTGCCTGGAAGAAGAGCTGGCTCCTAGCAACAGTGTCAGCAGGCCCTGCAACTCAGAGCACTCAGTCTGTCCCTTTGAGATCTCACTCTTCCTCTCATTCAGTTCAGCAAATATCTGTTGAGGGCTTACTCAGTACTAGACACTATGTTGGGCTGGGAAAGAGAGATGAATCAAATAAATGCCTTGTGTTCAAAGAGCTCACAGCTCTGGGTACATTAACATGTGAACAGACATAGTACACAGTGCTGAGTGCTATGTGGGAGACACTGGGTGCTCTGGGAAAACCAGACAGGCTTGTACTGGTGCAGGGGTTAGGGAAGGTTTCCCAGGAGAGTGATCATGGTTGAGCTGAGTGTTAATGATGAGTAGGAATTAGCTAGGTCAGGAAGACAGAGAAGGATGTTCCAACCAAGGGAAGCAGAATGAGCAAAAGCCAGTGGGACAAGAGAGAATGGCCAGTTTACCTGGGTAGTATGACATAGCCAGACAGTAGGGCATAAGGAAATGAGCAGGAAAGGGTGAGGCTCTAGGGCTAGGCAGGGCCTACTTTTCTGATGTGCTTTTACACACATAATTATCCTCGGGAGAAACATGGATAGTACTGATTCCCACAAACAGGATCATTGTTTGATCTGCAGAGACTCAGCATTTTTGATCATTGACTTAATTGTTTGCTGACACTTGTAAGTGAATTCAGGGCCACATTGTGACCCTGCATTGATGTACAAGAAACTGAGTTGATTCACTCTAAAAGTCAATCAGAGTCTTTTAGGGATCGGGCCTGTATTGTATTAAATTTTACCTCTCTCCCTTTAAATTGTTGTAGAAATGATGGTAAGTACATTCATTTTATTTAATATAAAAATTTCTTGTGTATTTTGAAATCTCACAATTAGTTAGGAAAAGAAGAAAGAAGTATTTACTCCAGTTAGTTCTTGGACACATTAATGTCACCTACTTGATTGCAGAAATACCCAACTGTGTTTTATTTTTTGCCTTAGCTTGAAATGGCTAGAATAGCTTATATTTAGCTATTGTGATGGAGGTCTTTATTTGTATATCTAAAAAATCCTGTTGCTTGTGGTCTGTGTAAGAAACAAGTAAACTGTAATTCCAAAATATCATGGGGACCATAACACACCAGAGCACTGTGTTAGGGAATCTGGATGAATCAGACATGGTCCTTCCTCTCAAGGAGCTCAAAGCAGCGGAAGGCAGGCACCAAAACAAATCAGTAGCGGAACAGTGAGCCAAGTGCAACAAAGAAGTGTGGAAGGTGCCAAGCTAGCAAGGGCATTATTTATTTCTGGTCTTTTTTCTGTGCATAAACATGTTTTTAAAATTTTTTACAACTTTAATAGCTCTATAACATTCCATGGTCTGCATGTATCATAATTTATTTAATAACACCCCAATTATCAGACATTTAGGTTGTTTCCAGTTGTTTTGCTAATATAAACTATGCTGCCATGTATTTACTTGTAGATAAATCTTTGCTGACCTCTGTCATAACTTCCTCAGGGTGAATTTTAGAAATGAGATTTGAGCTGGGTTTTGAAAGATGAGGAGGAACTCACCAGATAGGTGAAAAAAAGGAGTAATAGATGCAACCTGGAGTTCCCAGTTCCCAAATGAATGATGAGCTTTGCTTTCCCTACACCAGCCACGGGGCCTGCCTGATAGTCTCATAAAGCTTTGGGCACAGTAAGATGAAGTGACATGTTACAAATGGCATTTTAATTGGATTTGCTTCCCTGTACCTTGCTTTTACAGTTGCAAGCAAGGCAATGTCTTACTACCTCAACTCAGAAAACCACCTGGACCCTGGGCCCATCTATGTGCGAGAAAATGGGCAGTTGCACATGGTCAATCTGGCTCTAGATGGCGTCAGGAGTAGCCTACAGAAACCAAGGCCTTTCAGACTGTTTCCCAAAGGCTTTTCTGTGGAGCTTTGCATGAACAGGGAAGACGATACTGCACAGAAAGAGAAGACTGATCATTTCATCTTCACATACACCCGGGAGGGGAATCTTCGGTACTCTGCCAAATCCCTCTTCAGCCTTGTCCTGGGCTTCATCTCCGACAATGTTGATCACATTGATTCCCTTATTGGCTTTCCTGAGCAGATTGCTGAAAAGTTGTTCTCTGCTGCTGAAGCCAGACAGAAATTCACAGAGCCAGGTGCAGGGCTGAGGGCTTTACAGAAATTCACTGAGGCCTATGGAAGTCTGGTGCTTTGCTCCCTGTGTTTGCGAAACAGGTGGGTGTTCTGATCAGGATATTCAGTATTTTATTGAGTATGTTAATTCTGTCGAGCTCTGGGGCATGGTGGGCTTGGAGGCTTCCCCTATCAAATAGCACTTCCATTTAGAACTTTCAAGTACAAAGTGGCAGGCCATTTTAAGAAAAATCATTGTCTTTCTTCTATCTCCTCAACTCCCAGACAATAGTTAGCTTTATTTTGAAAACGTTTTACAAGAATTAGTTGATTGCCACAGCTCCTCCAGTAGGTAGAAAATGCTCTTCTACCAATTTTTCTAGTAAGAGAAAATAGAAAAGACAAGATGTGATCTGCCAAATATCTCTTGGTGTGCTCTTGGGGATGTGAAGATGAGTACTGAAAGTTCTTGGCCCTGTTTCAGTTTTCAGACCATTAGATAAAAAGTAACCTTAAAAGAATGAGTGATTAAAATTTCAAATATCCTAAAATTTGGAAATTCTCAGATGTAGTTTCAGCATCACGGTCTGTCTTCTAACAAAGCAGATGATTTCTCCTGTGATTTGCCTTTGCTTATATACTTTCATTTATTCATTTAAAAGTTTTTTGTGGGGCCGGCCCGGTGGCGCACTGCTACAGTGCGCCGCTTGGGAGCGCAGCAGCACTCCCGCCAAGGGTTCGGATCCCACATACAGACCGGCCGCTCACTGGCTGAGCGAGGTGCGGGCACGACACCGAGGGTTACGACACCGAGGGTTGCGATCCCGTTGCCGGTCATGAAAAAAGACAAAAAGGAAAAATAAATAAATAAATAAATAAAAAATAAAAGTTTTTTGTATCAATGTGTAAAAACACTCTCAAAACATCTATTAATTTTTAAAAACTTAAAAAATAATAAAAATGTACATGGCAGCCAATTCAGACACAGAAGGGTATAAAGTGAAACACTAGCCTCTCTCCCATCTCATCTCCCGTTTCCTTACTCCAGAGGCCAACAACTGTTATCAATTTCTTCTATATCATCCCAGAGATATTCTGTACATATGCATGCTTATATAGCTTTCCCTTTTGTTATAAAAATGGTAGCACACTGCAAACACTGTTGTACACCTTACTTTCTTTACATAATTGAAAATCACCAGTACTTCAAAAAATTTTAAATAGCACAATAGATACTACTGATAAATGTTTTTGTGATTAGAAACTGAAAGACAGCTTACTGTTAAGATGCACAATCAATATGACTATTAAAATGAGCTAAACAAAGAAGTATATAATACAAAAGTTCGTGGAAAATGGAATTAGAAGATACTGTGGATCTTTCCGGGAAACGTTTGAAGTACTCCCATAAAAGAAGAGAAAGTCATACCAGAAAACATAAGTTAAGCTCACAGGCTTAAAAAAATATGAAGTAATTTTTATTTACTCAGCTCATTGAATTAATGGTTTCAGCTGCAGGCCAGATATTGTACTTTAAAAAGAAAAGACATAAACATATGCAGAAAAGAATAGAACCTTGGACTCATGGATTGAGCAGGCACCTTATGAAAGCTCTGGCTCTGTGCTGTGGTCTCAGTCATGGCTGGGCTTGGGGCTGCTGCCAGTGGAAAGGAAAAAAATTACCTTACCTAATGAAAAAGTCAAGCAATATTTCATTGTAGCTCACACGTTTAACTCTTTACATTTTACTCTTTGTGGCTGGCCGGTTAGTTCGGTTGGTTAGAGTGTGGTGCTGATAAATTTCACTCGTTCATTTTTTTATTCCATGTTATTTATGTTCATTGTAGAAAAATTAGAACATTGAAAAAGAGAATTATGGTGAATACCTTGTTTTAAAATTATTTTATAAAATAATACGTACTATTTGGGAAATATATAAAATTGTAATATTTAAAAAATTCATAATCCCACCATTCTAATCATTTTTAAATATATATATATATGTTTCGGAATATATTTCTTCTACAACTTGTATTCGATTTTTTCCCCCACCTACCCATATCACTTAAGTATTTCCCATGCTATTGAAAATGCTGTTTATCGGGGCCGGCCCGGTGGCGCACTGCTACAGTGCACCGCTTGGGAACGCCGCCGCGCTCCCACCGAGGGTTCGGATCCCACATACAGACCAGCCGCTCACTGGCTGAGCAAGGTGTGGGCACGACGCCAAGGGTTGCGATCCCGTTGCCGGTCCCGGTCCGGTACGGGTGCGACACTGAGGGTTGCGATCTGTTGCCGGTCACGAAAAAAGACAAAAAGGAAAAAAAAAAGAAAATGCTGTTTATCCATTTGTGATGTCTGTATACTGTTCCAGTGGTCAGACTGGTCAGATAGTGATGAGAATAGCACTTTCGTTAACGTTGGATGAACACATAAATTAGTGTGGTATTTCTGGAAAGCAATTTAGCAATATGTATCAAGAGTCTTAAACATTTATTTGACCCATTAATTCCACTTACTAAGAATCTATTCTAATCTCTAATGTAATAATCAGAGATGGGAACAAATATTTTTACATAAGGACGTTTGCTGTAGTACAGTATGTACGAGTGAAAATCTGAAAACTAAATGTCCAACAATAGGGAATTGTTTAAGCAAATTATGGTACATTCATATGATGAAATGTCATATAACTATTAAGATAATAGTTTATGATTATTTAAAATGATGTAAAATGTTCATTACATAATAAATGAAAAAAAGAATGACATACACTGTATGATCCTAACTATGTTTTTAAAAAGTAGATATTTTTTATATGTGTATTGCATGTATAGGAAGAAAAAAGAAACCCACCAAAATGTAGTCTAGATGATGGGATTGAAATTGGTTTTATTTTCTTTATACTTTTCTTATTTTCTTAATTTTTTCACCAATGAGCATGTATTACATTTGTAATCAGAAAATCTAAGATACATTTTCAGCATAATCTTTTGGCTCATATTTTATTGCAACAAGTCTAAACTTTACTGTCTCATTCAGATATAGTAAGTGATCTAAAACTTCTCTCCGGGAGAGAGGGCTGAAGCTGCAGGAGCAGAGGTTTTACCAGCACAAAAATGTTTAGTCAAAGGGAATGAGCTTGAGAAAATAATTTAAAATAAGATAATTGGGTAGGTGCAGGCAGTTGCTGTCTTGGGGTTAGGTCACACAGCTGCCTGCCGGAAGGGGAAGCCAGTTTCTTTGTAACTGGGTTGCAACCCTACAAAAACTCTCTTCTTGGCTGGCTGGTTAGCATGTGATGAATGTGATGTTATAACACCAGAGTCAAGGGTTAAGGGTTCAGATCTCTACCAGCCAGCCACTAAAAAATAAAAACAAAAAAAACTCCCTCCTCCCTCGTATTGAAAACCCAGTAATTTTAATCCCACTGGTAGTCATGGGGAGGCAAGTATGTTGTCTTTAAGTTATTGAAGTAATAATAATAGCTACCACTTAATGAGAGTCTGTGAGATACCATGTACATTTTAAATAGTATTTCTGTTTTTCTTAATAATCCTGAAAAGTAGTAGTCTTCACCCTCTTTTTGTAGCTGGAGAAATTGAGGCTCAGAAAGATTAACTTTCTTGCAGTCACACAAGTAATTAGTGCTGTTAGAATCCAAACTCAGGTATGTCTGTCTGGAACTAAGATATGTCTCTGCTTTTTCTCTTGTTTCTCCACTATACTGTTCTGAATCCTTTAAGAGACAAATTGAAAGACTAGTTGCAAGCAAGAACCAAGAGCTTTGATTATGACCTAGATTAGCATCTACTAACCTCTGTGGCCTAGCATATTGGTTCCTCAGTCTTGAGTTTTGTAATGTTTCTTAATCACATTACACAGTGTTATGTCCTTTGCAGATAACCCTTGTTTCAGAATTACTAAAAATCTTTTGGTTAATTGATCAAAGGAGATGTGTGTTCCTTTCTCTGATTGCCAGTAATCCCCCAAATCCCCATTAACACACTTCAGCTTAGTGATTGGAAGGTAGAGAACACCAGCTTTGTTTACAGTGCAATTAAAATATGTCTGAGTAAATAAGGCTTGTTTGTGTATCCAGCTGAGCTCGGTCTCCAGGCAGCTTTGTTTCCACATTTTAAAGTGGGTATCATGCCTCAAGCCATCTGTACCTAGCAGTCAGGCCAATGTCAGTCAGTTTGAGTACATCTTATTTTGGTTGAAAGTAGAAAGAAAAGAAATCTAACTCTTCCCCTCTTGCCTTCTGATTATTCCATCATGTTTTTGGCAATTAAGATCCTGCTAACAGAAGAGAGATGTGAACTCTTTTAAGTATAACCCCACTGATCCTAACACACCATCTTGCTGTGGAAACTTTTAGACATTCAAGAGGAAAATGGATGAGAAAGGCATGCTCTTGCCACAAGTCAGTTTCCCTACTCCCTTAGGATCCTCTCCTCTGTTTCCTGTCACACCTAATCTCTTTCATTTTTTCTCACTGGCCTCATCTGAAATAGATGAACAACTAGAAAGCAGGGCAGAGGCCCCATTCTGAGGTGTGGAATGCCATTTTGATCTCCTTTTCCTCTCCAGAAGCTTCTCTGATGCTTCCTGATAACAATTTGGCAGGGTGCTCCAACGTAATTAAGTTGCTTGTGTTCATGGTTTGTCTTAATAAACATATAGGTTAGAGTGAGTCCTTGTGGCAATCATGCTGCACCTATCTTTGGTGTAAAGTTAGTGAAATAACAGGCACAGTGGAGTGGACAGGTACTCAAACTTGTGTTTGAATAGAAAAAATAAAATGTGATCTGCCAAATATCTCTTGGTATGTGTTTGGGGATGTGCAGAATAGAGCTCAGAGTTCTTCGTGTTGTTTAGTTTTCAAATCACTAGATAGATCATTAGATAAAAAGCAGCTTTAAAAGAATGAATAATTAAAATTTTGAGTATCCTAAAATTTGGAAATTCTCAGATAAGGTCCCAACATCAACACCAAGGAATGTCTGTCTAATGGCAAAGCGCATGTTTTCTCTTGTGACTTGCCTTTGCTGATATACTTTTATTTATTTATTCAAAAAAAAAATTTTTTTTTTAAAGATGACTGGTAAGGGGATCTTAACCCTTGGCTTGGTGTTGTCAGCACCACACTCTCCCGAGTGAGCCACGGGCCGACCCAATTTTATTTAAAATTTTTATTCCACCATTGTGTAAAAAAGACTTTCAAGGCATTTACTAATTAAGAAATTCAACCTTTGCCCAGATAGTAATCAGTGAAGCCTGCTTATTATGTAGTACTGTGTCCTTATGGGACAATGGGATGTTGACTGTGTCACAAAGCCACAAGTGATAATGTTTTAAAAGGAAAAGAAAAGTTGTTGATTGCTTCCCATGCTCCACAGATATCTGGTGATTTCAGAAAAACTTGAGGAGATTAAGTCTTTCCGAGAGCTGACCTGCCTGGATCTTTCCTGTTGCAAGCTTGGAGATGAGCACGAACTTCTAGAACATCTTACCAATGAGGCCCTGTCTAGGTAATGACCTGCCACCACTTGTATATGAATTGTTTCATTACTTTTTTAAAGACTGATCCAACAGGTTATCTTGAGAAATGCTGATTACTTCTCATTCCAGTGTTTATTTGCTATTTTTTTTTTCTAGAACATTTTCTAACTCAATTTACTTATTACAAGCAATATAGATTGGACAACCCTTAGGAAAGTCAGTCAGTTAGTTCACTTAGTTCTTTTTCCTAAATAACCTTTATTTCAATATGTAATACTTGAAGCTACCTGGATAGAAAAATGATTTTGCCCTTTATTTGTTCAGTCCTAGTTTATTCTAGCAAGAGATGAGAAGTTATTCCATTTCCCAGAATCATTATTGTTTGCTATTTTAATTATCAGTAAAATATAAGTTATAAAGCAACTAAACTATTAAAAACAGCCAAATCCTTTTCAAGAACGATGATTTAAAGAAATGGCTCAGTTCACACCATTTACAAATAGTTCAGCTCATCTCTGGTTTCTCAGTCTGGCCAGCAGAGAGGAGGCCAGATCGATTCCTTTGTGGTTTCATAAACATCCAGAAGGATAATAGCATTACAAACCTGGGTCTAATCTGCTACCTGGGGCCTGCTTCTGACAGCAACACCTACATACTGCCCAGTATAAAGGTATTTTTGTGTGAGGTTTGTTAGTACTGAGACTCAGATTTCATATGTGAAGGACAGTGGAGCATATTAATACACCAGTTTCAGTTTAGCTAGATGGATTGGATTATCAGTATACCTTATAAACCCAATCTGAAAATCTAGATATGTAAAGCTGGTTAAAATTAAAGGATTATTTGCTTTGCAAAATGAATTCTCGTAGGAGTTCTTTAGCAGACTCTCCTGACATATTTAGAACATATTTGATTTTCACACAGTTTGTCAGAAATTCAGCTTTTGTGTTAAACTAGGTATATTTATCCCCTTAAAGGCAGTCCCTGTTTACCTCATTGGACTGTATACCTTTAGTGCCCTCTGCCACCTGAGATTATTACTACATGACACTTTGATCCCTAAATTAACCCTCACTTGGTAACTGAAATAGCACCAAAAGATCTTTAACTCTGTTAAATGTGTTGAGTATAAAATAGCAGGGGGTAGAAGATATCATCTTTTTTAACAAAAATTTTCAAGTAATGTTCTCATACTTACACTTTCTCAAACTCTCTTTGAGTAATTTATTTATGGACTTTGTTTCCCTAGTGTAACTCAACTCCACCTGAAGGATAACTGTTTATCTGATGCTGGAGTGCGGAAAATGACAGCACCAGTTCGAGTGATGAAAAGAGGACTTGAAAATCTAACATTACTAGACTTATCTTGTAAGTTTTATTAAAAATCATAGATTATTAATGTTGGAAGAATGGCCTTAAAGATCATCTGGTTTTTCCCCTTCATTTTAGAGGTGATAAAGGAAAGGTGACTTTCCTAGATGCCACAGCAAATTAATGTCAGAGCAGGACAAAGCCAGAGGCTCTTTACTCCTGGCCAAGAGCCTTTTCTGGCATACTGCCACCTCTTTAGGGTAGGAAAAATCCTTGCAGATTCACCCACGCCACTCACAATGTACAGACACGGTGCCTTGCATCAAGTTCATACCATGCACAAAGGACATCTGGCTCACCTTTACCTTATTCAAATGGTGTCTGTCAGCTAGGTCCTTTTTATAGATATTTGCCTGATGAAAAGCTGGAAGAATCCATAATTGTGGATTAACCAGTTATTGACTCCAGTGGTTGAAAGTTGACAGAGATCATTTATAATTTAACTGAGCATCCACTGAATATATGGCAGGATGATATGGTGCCAAAAGAATAGCGAGAGTAGGGGTTTGAGGCTGGAGGATCCTCCTTGTTCTGCTACTTGTACTTGCAGCTATGTACCCTTGGGCAAGCCTCTCTGAGCCTTGGGTTTGGCCTCTGTGAAATGAGGATATTAATGCCTACCTCCCAGGGAAGTATGTTCATTGAGCAAATACATTTTTTGAGCATCTACAATGTGCCAGGCATTGTATTTATGGCCTTGAAGACTCAATGCTAAATGCAGTACTTTCTGATGTAGAAGGCAATATATAAGAAAGGATTCTGAGAAAAATGCAAGTTAGTGAGAGTAGTGATAGTCTGTGTATAAGTACCCTTGGAAATCTTTTTAAAATAAACAAATGCTTTTACATTTGAGGTGAAATGGCTATGATTAAAGTATGATGAACCTTTTTTTTTTTTTTTTATAAAGATGACTGGTAAGGGGATCCTTGACTTGGTGTTGTCAGCACCACGCTCTCCCAAGTGAGCTAACCAGCTATCCCTATATAGGGATCCCCTCTGTCTTGCAGTTACTATGATCAAATTCCTTCAAAGGCACTTTGGAGTGAACAAGGCCTATGTGTGTCTCCCTCTGTCTTGCAGTTACTATGATCAAATTCCTTCAAAGGCACTTTGGAGTGAACAAGGCCTATGTGTGTCTCCCTCTGTCTTGCAGTTACTATGATCAAATTCCTTCAAAGGCACTTTGGAGTGAACAAGGCCTATGTGTGTCTCCCTCTGTCTTGCAGTTACTATGATCAAATTCCTTCAAAGGCACTTTGGAGTGAACAAGGCCTATGTGTGTCTCCCTCTGTCTTGCAGTTACTATGATCAAATTCCTTCAAAGGCACTTTGGAGTGAACAAGGCCTATGTGTGTCTCCCTCTGTCTTGCAGTTACTATGATCAAATTCCTTCAAAGGCACTTTGGAGTGAACAAGGCCTATGTGTGTCTCCCTCTGTCTTGCAGTTACTATGATCAAATTCCTTCAAAGGCACTTTGGAGTGAACAAGGCCTATGTGTGTCTCCCTCTGTCTTGCAGTTACTATGATCAAATTCCTTCAAAGGCACTTTGGAGTGAACAAGGCCTATGTGTGTCTCCCTCTGTCTTGCAGTTACTATGATCAAATTCCTTCAAAGGCACTTTGGAGCTTGGTGTTGTCAGCACCACGCTCAGCCAGTGAGCAAACCGGCCATCCCTATATAGGATCCGAACCCGTGGCCTTGGTGTTATCAGCACTGCACTCTACCGAGTGAGCCACAGGCCGGCCCTCTCCTTCAGACACTTTTAACAAATGTTTCTTGATGGAGGCCTAGAGGACCCACCACACTGTTTTATTCTGGATCCTTCCTTTGCTCCAAGCCATAATGCACGATGGTGGACCTACTAGCTGCCTAATTGTAGCATAGTTAAGCAAGAAGGGAGACCGATGAGTCAGTGTTTCAGAAGCACTTTGAGCTTGGTCCAGAACAGGCATGATGAAATAATTAGCACAGTGCTTTGCAAGACAAGGTTTGTAGCACTGGATGAATCCTAGATACGTCCAGTGGACTTGGGGCAGGTGTGGGATGCTCATGCAAAGGCTTGATGCAGTTTGGTAGCAGGTGACATGATGGAAAGAGCTTAGGCTGTGGGGTCAGAGACACCCGGGTTTGGGATCCTGGCTCAACAACCCAATAGCTGTACAACCTAAGGCAACTTGCGTCTGTTTCTTTATCCGTAAAATGTGGAAACTAGGACCTCTCTTGCAGGGCTTGGGTAAGGATCAAGTAAAACACCTTGTAGCCTGTCCTGAAAGTAAGTTGATTGGGTCAGTGCACCTTCCTGCCATCCAGCCTCAGCTGGGCTGTAGGGCTTGTCAGCAGTGCTTTACCTATCTCCTGTTGATCCCTCACTGAACCTGTTTCAGGCTGACCCCATTCCCCTAGTGCCCTCATTCTCAGCAGATGACACAAAAGAATGAGGCCATATAACGGGTCCACTTACTTCCTTATTGCCATCTCAAAATTTCTCCTTTTCTTCAACCATATTCCACCTCCCTCCCATCAAAGGGAAACAGGTATGCACTTTATTCCATTGACAAGCTCTTATTTTTTTTCTTTATTTCAGTTCTGTTCGCTAAGATCTCCAGCTTCCTCTGTGATATTTACTGATAATTATTTCCACCTACTGCTTGCCACCACATCTTCAATGTCACCCTCTGCTGGCTATTTTCTTTCTGTGTACAAATTTAAACTGTCTTTATTCTAACATGTTCTTCATCCCACAGTGTATCTATACATTGTTCCCTTTTCTTACCTCTTTCACCTCCTCACTGCCTACTCAGTTCTTAATCCCTTGGAATCTCATTCTGGCCTCCACTGCACTACTGAAAGTGTTCTGTTGAAGGTAGCAGGTGATCTCATTCTTCGCCTTCTTCGGCTTTTCCGCAGCTGTTGATGTAAACATGCATGCATTATGGTTTTTCTCTCTTGGCCTCTCTTCTGGCTTACCCCTAACTTTCTCAGTTCTCCCTCTCTCCATAGCGGATTCCTCCTTCCTCCTCTGCTCTTCTCTTACACCTCCACTCACTCCCCCAGCGATCTTTACTGTGCTCAGGGCTTTAACTGTCCCTGCGAGGATGATTCTACTTTTCTCAGGTGCTGGACCCATTCCCAAATATTGCCCATAAATCTTCACCTGGCACCTCAAATTCAGCTTTTCCAGAACCAATCTCATTTTCTTCTTCCCCGTCCCTAAACAGCTCACCTTACTGACTTTCTTATTTTTGTTAGTGGAAACATGATTTTCCCTATTGCCAACTGAGTCAACAAGTTCACTTAAACCATTTTGGCATTTTCTTAGATCTGCTTCCATTTTCCATAACTAGTAAAGTATCATAGAAGCGATGGCAATTCATATTCAGGTGCTGTCTGTGTCCTAAACCTTTCATCTGTGTTATCTCATTTAATCTTTACAATAGCCATATGGAATATATACTGTTATTAATCCCTATTTTACAGATGTAGAAATTAAGACTCAGAAATTAAATCGCTTGCCCAGGGTCCCCAGCTAGTAAGTGGTAGAGCTAACCCTGGAACTGTATTCTTAAACTCTGTGTTGTGCTGCCTGAGTCCTGAAAATATTCTTCTTGACTTTCTTTATGATCATTTCACTGCATCCCATAATGAAGAATATTAAATTTAAAGTTCTTGGTACTCATGGTATATCGAAATGATTATTTACTTTATTTTGTTTATGTATAGTTTATATGCAACCAAATCTCTAAAAGAATTTGTAGTGGCTTATAATAACAATACACTTGTAACAGTTAAAAAATGGAACCTGATCATGAAGTGTTGTGAGAATATGGAAACATGGGCATTTTACATAGATACAAAAATTCGAGTTGGTATATTTTAAGGCATGATGGCGGGTCTAGGAATGTGTAAAAATATTATGACTAAGTTTTTAAATTTCAGTATTTGGTTTAATAAAATACAGTTTACGTCTAGCTGAAAATAAAGATGAAAACAGGAGTCAGCTGTATAGATTTTCCTGAGTTGTACAGTTGCATGTCTTTTCTTTTCTTTTCTTTTTTTTTTTAAATCCTATATAAAGGGGATCTTAACCCTTGGCTTGGTGTTGTCAGCACCATGCTCAACTAGTGAGCTAACCGGCCATCCCTATATAGGGATCTGAACCTGTAGCCTTGGTGTTATCAGTACCACACTCTCCCGGGTGAGCCACAGGCCGGCCCTCAGTTACATGTATTTAACATGTTTTTATTCTGACTCAATTTCTGCATTAGAACAGAAAATCCAGACTTGACTTGGTTCTTATTCTTATCACCAGTCATCTGAAGTACAATTTACCACAGGGGTTTGTGATTATGGAAAGGGAGAAAGGGGGAAGAAGGTCTTGAGATTAAAAGCTTGAGATTTTGTTCTTTGGTTCAAATCTTTTCAAATATGTTTTAGATTGTTCTACAGTGGGAACGTGTGACTGCAGAAGCGGTGAAGCCACGAGAAACCTCAGAGCCTCGAACAGCAGCTCAGCACTTCTGTGAGAAATTCATGTTTTAGATTGTTCTACAGTGGGAACGTGTGACTGCAGAAGCGGTGAAGCCACGAGAAACTTCAGAGCCTCGAACAGCAGCTCAGCACTTCTGTGAGAAATTTCTTTTTATTTGGAGTCTATTGCCCTTAGGTTATTTGCACCCTTAAAGTAGTTAGCCTGTCTTCTCTCAGTGGGAAAATAAGTATTGACTTATTTATGATCGCCGTGACTTGTATTCTTTCAACATAGCGTACAGAGTAAATTCACACTTAGCTTTGAGCACCAGCACAAGGAAAATAGCTTTTTAAATTATTTGAGCTTGGTCCAGAACATGCATGATGAAATCATTACCACAGTGCTTTGCCAAAAAAGATTTGTGATGGCACAAAAGTAGAGTACAGAAGATTAAAAAGGAATTAGGTATAGCTAAAAGGTAGAGGCAACTCAAGTGTCCATCAGCAGACGAATGAATAAGTAAAATGTAGTATTTACATACAATGGAATATTATTCTGTCTTAAAAAGTAAGGAAATCTTGACCCATGCTACAACATGAATGAATCTTGAAGATATTATAAGTAAAATAAACCAGTCACAAAAGGGGGCAAATATTGTATGATTGCTCTTGTCTGAGGTTCCTAGAGTAGTCAGATTCATAGAAAAAGTAGAATAGTGGTTGTCAGGGACTGGTGGGAAGGAGAATAGAATGTTATTGTTTAATGGGTACAGAGTTTCAGTTTTGCAAGATAAAAAGAATTCTGGAGATGGCTGGTGGTGATGATTGCCCAACAGTGTGAATATACGTAATACTGCTGGACAATACACTAAAAAATGGTTAAAATGGGAAATTTTATGCTATGTATATTTTACCATAACCTAAAAAAAAGGATTAAATGATGAAGTCGAAGTGAAAGAACATAAAGGTAGCAAAGTAAGAATCCAGGGCATATCAAAAATACATAGATTAAGGTGGTATTTACTAGAGTTGTGCCACAAATTTGGCTCTTGGAGTCAAATCTAGATTTTGAATAATAACAACCAACATTTTTTGAGCTTTTTGTATGTGCCAAGCATTTCACTAAGCTCTTTATATACATTATCCCATTTTTCTTCATATCACCCTTTATGAAACAGGTTTTATATCTCTATAAAAATACGAAAACTGAATCTCAGACAAGTCACTTGCCCAAGACCACTTATCTAGGAAGAGGCAGATCTGGGGTTTGTATCCAAATCTGTCAGACTCCAGTAGGAGTCCATGACTTCAACCTGTGCCAGTACACATGCCACTGCTACTTTATAGGGCATTCAAAACAAAATGATATTAATCCAAACATCACCCTGTTTGGGCCTTTGTTGTTTTCCTTGGATCGTTTTTCTAGATATGCAGGCATTAGCATGCCAGCGTAGTTCACTCATCGTTCCCTTCTGTCACTCTTACAGATGGGCAACGGTCTCGAACAGAAGTCCCATTGAAGTATCCCCTGGCAGACAGCCACATGAACTCTTCTGAGAAACTCCAGTTCTATAAAGAGAAAGCCCCAGACTGCCATGGGCCATTGTTGAAATGTGAAACAGTCTCAAGCCAGGAGTCAAAGAAGAGCAAGAAGAGAGCTTTTGAGGAGTCAGAGAAAGAACAGAGTAACTCTTCACAGTCATCAAAGCAGAAATATGTATGTCTTGCTGTGGAAGACTGGGACTTGTTAAATTCCTATTGATTGGCAGATATAAGTTGACCTTTCTTCCCCAAACTCTAATGTATGAGGAAAGGGGACCAGTGATGATTTACTTTTTGTTTGAATTTACCTATGGCATTAGCATAGCAAGCAGATATTTCTACTTTTGTGGTGGGGGAGGGGAATGCTATGGAAGTATGTAATAATTTCTAATGTATATTTTCAATACATAGTAATTTTTTCAAATAAACATTTTTGCTGTCCTTACGTTCTACTTGTGGATTATAGACTGGAGCCACAGGAGATAACACTGTGATTTGAGATAGAAGGCCATGTGAACTAACAAGGCAGTTTAGTATGATTTGTTACTAAAGCTTGGCCCAGCTGATAGAATATATTTATATGAGTATAGGTACCATTAATTGGATAACCCCTCTGTGCTATTCCCTGTCCTCAGGAAGGCCATGTGAACTAACAAGGCAGTTTAGTATGATTTGTTACTAAAGCTTGGCCCAGCTGGTAGAATATATTTATATGAGTATAGGTACCATTAATTGGATAACCCCTCTGTGCTATTCCCTGTCCTCAGAACAACCATGGCAGGTAGGTACTAGCCCCAATTTAGAATTAAGAAAAATCACTTAGCCTCAAGTTAAATGACTTGTTCAAGGTCTCAGAGTTTATAAGTGACAGAGCCAGAATTTATACTCCTGTTCAATTCCAAAGCCTATTCTGTTGCATTGCCTTCTTAAATAGTTACCATTTATTAAAATCCCAACTATTGGGCCGGCCCAGTGGCACACTGGAGAGTGCACCGCTTGGGAGTGCGGTGGTGCTCCTGCCGAGGGTTCGGATCCCATGTGGAGACCGGTTC